AGGCCCCTAACCAGCTTCGATTCAGTGACAACAGGACCAGTGTCTACTTGGAACAAAGCACCATGGGAAATGAAAGCTGAATCAGAGCTGGCAAGCCCCCGCACCCTGGTGGGGACATTAGGACGGTCCACACATCTTTGAGGGAGGATGGCCAAGGGCTGTCCAAGGCCCAGGGAGAGGAGAGGTGCAGTGGGGGAGGGAGCAATCACTTCTTGCAGGGAGATCCAAGTCCTGGAAGGCTTTCTGGAGGAGAGGGTATTTGGGCTGAGCCTTGAAGAATTTGCTGGGTTTCAGACAGGAGGATGAGGAAGTGTTCTAGGTGGACAAAACTGCCCAGCAGAGGCCAGCGGAGAGGCAGAGAGGGTAGGGTGAGGGGCTGGAGAGCAGGGGAGGAGGGCAGGGAGCTCACATTGGAAGGGCCGGTTATGGACCCTGGCGGTCTCCTGAGATGGGACTTGTCCAGGTGGCAGTGGGAGCCTCTGAAGGTTTGAAGCAGGAGAAGTCACATGTCTCACCAGGGGCTACAGGGAGTCCAGCCTACAGGCCTCATTGAAGGTGCTCGTAATGTCGCCGATGAGCCAGGCAGCATGAGGGCGATGGCAGTGGGGATGAGGGGAGGGGACATCTGGGACAGGCACAGTCTCCTGTGTGTCCTGAGAGCTCTCGGCCTGAGGGTAGAGGTGGGCACCGGGCTCAGTGGGCTGGGAGGGAGCAGAAAGGGGACTGTGCACCAGGAACAGTAGAATCACTCGGATCTCCAGCCCGAGGGCTACTTCCAAGAGGGTCCTACCAGGTCATCTTTAAAGTGCCCACTAGCCCAGCCCTCTCTAACCTACTAGCAAGGGGGCTAACGAGCCAGGTATGTGTGGCGGTGCCAGAGAGCCTGGGTGGCCCTGGGAGGGAGGCGAGACTCTCTGTTCCTGGACATCTCACTCTGCCTCTTGTTGGAATGGAGAGAAGAGCCCCTTGCCACTTTTCTGTACCAGGAACAAAAAACATCAGCCAACATTTGACTGTGCTGTACGCCAGACACTGAGGAGCTCTATCATCCCCACAACAATCTATGTGGTGCAGGAGGCACTCTTATACAACTCCTAGCCCCAACTTTAGCAGAGCAGTTTAGAGAGGCACAGAGAAGGGCAGTTTCATGTCTAAGGTCACACAGCATACCAGAGTAGGTGGCATACTCACATGACACAATACTGCCCCTACAGGCAGAGCCAGGCTACAGCGGAGCATTCTGCCAGTTTAGCGGAGAGCCCACCCAGTGTCCCACTAGCTGTTACAGGTATTATTGTCCACCGCAGTATGGGGGAGTGGGAGCATGCTAAGTGGGACAGAACTCAGTCTGGCTCTTTCCTCTTGGCTGGGCTGGGCCAGGCTGGGCATGGCTTCCACCCCCAACTCCCAATGGGGCTTCCTCCAAGGGAGAAGCAGCTCCGCAGTCTGCCTGTGCTGGGTGTGGGGTCCCAGGACCTGTGTGGTTCTGGTTCTGACTCAGCCCTCATGTCCTGTGTGACTTGGCCTTCCCGCTCCTCTGGGCTCCAGTTGCCTTCTCTGAGAAGGGAGTGGGTGGGCCTGCTGACCTCGCCGGCCCTTCCAGCTGGGCCCTTGGAGAACGCACAATCAGTCCGTTCTTTAATAAATGGGCCAGGGAGAAGGCGAGAGCATATGAAGATATTTTGACTTTACTGCTCTTGGGAAACCCCAGATGGAATCTGGTGTGGAATCCACAGGGACCCACTGACTGCATGAGGTCTCTGGGTCACCCCACCCCCATGTCCCGGCATGCCTGAGCAGACCCATGCATGCAGGCGCGGGTTTCCCTTCCAGTGTGGGATTAAGTGTGGAACAGAGGGGTGCTGTCCCTGCACGGGACCCTCCTACCCCTAGACAAGAACAGTCCCTTCTCTGCTCAGCCTGGGGCCCCATGGAACCCCTACCCCGCATCTGACTTCACCCACCAGGAATGCTGGAGCCATGGTGAATGCGGACCAGGGCCTGGTGCTCTTGACCTGCCCTGGGACCACCCACCTCTGGGCTCCTTGCGCCTTCCCCATCTGCAGGAAGGAACATGGAGGGGAAGTTTGGTGTCATGGAAACAACTGAGGGCCCCTAGGCAGGTTCTTGGGACCCTTTGGACTCTATCCAATGGGGCAAGTTCTAGGGACCTCACTTTTTCCACTGGGAAGGATAGGGCTGCCCAATTTAACAAATAAAAATGCTGGACACCTATTTAACTTTGAATTTTAGATAAACAACAAATAAATTTTAGTATAAGTCCATCCCCAAATGTTGCATGGGATATACTTTATTGCTGGGGGGGGGGTGCTGGGGTTGAACCCAGGGGCACTCAACCACTGAGACCCATCCCCAGTCCCATTTTGTATTTTATTTAGAGACAGGGTCCCACTGAGTTGCTTAGCACCTCGCTTTTGCTGAGGCTGGCTTTGAACTGGCGATCCTCCTGCCTCAGCCTCCCGAGCTGCTGGGATTACAGGTGTGCACCACCACACCTGGCGGAATATACTTATACTAAAAGAAAATCACTTGTAGCTTATCTGAAGTTCAAATTTAATTAGTCATCCTTTTTCTGGGAATCCTAGATGCAGGTGGGGTGGATGCCAGAGACCCAGAGGGGAAGTGATGTCAGGCTCCCCTCCTCCTGCCCTTCCTTGGGGCACTGGTGCCTGCCTTGTCCCTTCACCTCTCCAGCCCTCCCAGTCTCCCACCAGGCCCTTCTCAGGACACCTTCCTCCCTCAAGCTCAGCCATTCTTCTCTTCCCTAAGACCCACACCTCTGTAAGGCTCCAGGCCTGGGCAGGGTGGCAGGGAGGGGAAAGGGGTGTGAGTATATCACAGAACTCAGGTGCTGGTCTAGTGGAACTGTGCAGGGACAGGGGCAGGGGGTGAGGGAAGCCCAAGTAAGCAACAATTTCACTAAATTGGTGGAAATGAGGGTGGTGTTGGGAGAAGGTTCCAGCACTCTCAGGACTAGGTCCCCTTAGGAAGGGAGGCAGTCTGGGTCTACTGCCAACAGCAGGGGAAGAGGTGAGAGGTGCTCCTACCCAGCCCAGCCCATTCACCAAGCTCCTAGTCACTTTAGATGGGAGACTTTAGACTTTAAATAGAGGAGGAATTTCTGGGGCCGGGTCCCTTTTGAACTTGGCATAGGAGACTAAAAGATTCCATTTTTGTTTGTTTGCTTGTGCATGCATCATTGAACCCAGTAGCATTCTACCTCTGAGCTCCATCCCAGCCCTTTTATTAAATCTCATTTTGAAACAGGGTGTCACTAAGTTGCCTAAGCTATCCTGGAACTTGTGATCTTCCTGGCTCAGCCTCCCCAGTGTGAAACAGGCACAGGCACCCGGTTTTTTGGAAAGATTTTATTCTAAGGAATGAAAAAGGTCAGAGGGGAGTGAGAAACAGGGACAGAAACAGAGGGAGATGAGAGAGAGAGAGAGAGAGAGAGAGAGAGAGAGAGAGATAGATAGATGGGGGGAAACGGACAGTAGACTGGTGGTCAAACCCAGTCATGGAAAATGGAAACAGAAAAACACTCTCCACTGAGACCAACAGAGTGACACCAGAAACGGACGGGAAACAACTGGGATCCACAGAAATTGGGAGAAACTGGGTGCACACAAAGATGGGGGGAGCCAAGACAGGAAATCACAGGCTGGGGGAAAAAGCGAAGACACAGAGAAGTTCAGTGGGACAGATAACACGATCAGGAGAGAGAAGCACAAACAGGCGAGAGGCAGAGAAAAGCGGAAGGGACAGGCAAGGAGGACTGCTGTCCTAGGGAGCCGAGATGCTACTGAGGGGCGAGGTTGGAGTGGAGAGTGCGGCGCCTTAGTCCTGCGCCTCGCAGGGCGACCCTCCTCTTTCCCCAGCGCCCACCACCGCTCCACTCCGCCCGGTCCGGGGTCGCCCGCTTATTTTTTCACCTCCAGCCGGGTGGCCTCACTTCTCGTCCCTCGCCCCCACCGGCCACCCTGCCAGATCGGTGAGGACTGCTAGGAGGGCGCCAGGTCCCAGCCCCACCGCCCAGCCCCACGTCCAGTCCGCGCGCCTCGGGCTCCCGGGGTCCGCGCTGGGCGATGCTGCCACCTGGCGGCCAGACTTCGTCCGCACCGCGAGCCTGGAGGGCCGAGAGCGGTGGCCGTCCAGGGGTCGGAATCCCGCCGCTCGCGCCCGACCCGCACCGGCCTGGTCTTTTAGGAATCCCGACGGGCCTGCTTGCCCGCGCCCCCGCTCATCCCACTTCCTCTGTCCGGGTCATGGACCCAGTGGGCATGTCTTTAACCACAGGACCTTAATTTCGCCTTTACGCAAAGAGGAAATATACACCTGCCACAGGACTTCAAGGGCCCGGGAACTTCAATGCACCAATGCTGTGTTCTGGGTCTGAATCAGAATCTCAGGTCACTTTGAAATCCACCAGGCCTCCCTCTCTTACCCACTCCCTTCTTGAAATACAATGGGGTGAATCTTGCACACAACACCCAACACACACACACACACACACACACACACACACACACGATTCACTCCAAGCCTTCTCCTCCCTTTCCTTAAACCTCTGCCCCCCTGGGAGTCCAGATGAGAAGGAGCTTCCAGGGCCCCACTCCCCCTGCCTGCATCCCCTCTCCCATTCCCTGACAGGCACAGAACCACTTCCTTAATTCTAGGATTCAGGGTAACCTAAATCCTGTGATGCCTAAGCAGTCTTGAACTGACCCCACGACTTTTTCTTTTAATCAATGAATCTTTTCTACCTTGCAATTCCCCAAACCCTAGCAAGACTTCTCCCGTCGCCCCTCCACTTCTCTCCCTTCCTCCCTCTCTGCCCCAAGACTGATCCAGCCCAGGTGCATCAGCTCCGCCCCCATTCCGAGGCCGGGCCCCATAGGTGGAGAAAAGTGGGAGAGGTCGCGGCCCCGCCTCTGCCCTCCTCCCGCTACACACGGAAGCTCAGCGGCTTCGGTGCTAGGATGTCGGACGCCTGGGTCCCAAGCCTAGCGCCCACCTTGCTTCTTAGCCTGCTGGCTGGCCCCCACCGCGCGATCGCCTGGGAGGTAAGCCTGTGGAGCTTTTCGGGCCCTACCCTATTGGGCAGGGGCATGCCTCTGGAGCCTGGTCACCATCTCCCATTGTCAGGACTTCCTTGTGACCACACGCAATTAGCAACTTCCTTTTTTTTCCCCCCTAGAAATGGAGGTGGGGGCACAAAGAGAGGCCCTGGGAAAACCTAGGCTCCTTTACCTTTGGGGGTAGTGTGTAGTGGGACCACATCTGCCTCCACCCCTCTGACACCTTGGGCCTCTGAGTGGAACTTTGACCCCCATATTAGCTTTTTTGCCCTTCCAACTCTTTCCCCGTCTGCGTCAGAAAGCGGGGCGTGAGATCTAGACGCTGGGTCAGGTGTCTCCCCAGCTTGTTCCTTCAGGGCTGGTTGACCTTGGGGATGTCTCAGACCTCTCTGGGACTGTGTTCCTCTGTGCCTTAGAGGAGAGGAGGTTCCCTCACCTCTTCTAGGGGTGGGGATAGAATTCCATCCTGTAGTAGCATTTGGCCTGGCTGCCTGACCCAAAGCTGGGGTGACTTCTGAAACCCCTGATTTTTAAAGAGAAGCAGCATTTGAGCCCTGCCCTCCTCTTGCCCCAGGTGGGATCTGAGGAATCCCTGGGCGGGCATCTGAGCTCTACAAACGACAGGAGATGGGTATGCTGTCCTGGGATGGCCGATAATTCTGCTAAGTGACATGGGACTAGAAGAGGCATTTTTAACTTCCTTCTGTTGGAGAATCTGAGGGAAGTCTGGAGCTTGCTCCCCAGGGTAAGAAGGTGGTATTCCTTCTGCCTCAGTGGATGATCAGCACAGCAGCACTGAGTTGAGCATCCTCTTAACGCCCCTCAACAGCCCCAGGGGCAGGCACTGTTAACAACCCCCGTGCAGAGAAAGCTGGGGCTGCTCCACATTGCCTTGATACTTTGTAAAACTCAGGCTCTGAACCACCCCAGACCAATGGCCTGCTGGTTAAGATGAGGAGAGAGAATCCCTGAGAAGGTCTCCTCCCCCTCCCAAATGGAAACTGGGAGTAATTTATTAAACCTGTTAATTTTCCATCACTTCTCAGTTGGGGTCCCCAGGGAGAGAAAAGAAGGACAGGATATGGGATCTGAGAGGCAAGAGGCATGGCTGAGTGCCTGGATCTCGTGGTTTGCTTTCAGTTCTATAAGTCACCCCTGTGTGTTGTGGGATTCGGGAGACACCCTCTCTGGGTGTCTCTGACCTCTGCAGTTTCCTTCCTCCTCTGGACCTCACTAAAGGACAGAGCTTATGAAAAGATACTTAACCTGAGACTGAGATAAGAATATCACTTTGGTACTCTTATCTTTATGGTTGTGATTAGCACATGAAATGCTATTTTTATTATTATTACTCTGTGGTGCTGGGGATTGAACCCAGGGATTCATACATGCGGGGCATGTACTCTGCCACTGAGCTGCATCCCCAGTCTTTTTATTTTTACTTATCATTATTATTTTTAAAGACAGGGTCTCACTAAACTATCTCAGCTGTCCTCAAACTTATGATCCTCCTGAGTAACTGGAATTACAGATGTGTGCCACTGAGCCTGGCTGCTATTTTAATGATTTTAAATAAAGTGTAAAGATAATGGTGGTCTTGCCAAAACTGGCTTTCTGTTCCTGAGCCCTGGTTGTTTGTTCCAGGTAGCTAGGACAGGGGATGGATAATCTCATTTCCTTTGTCCCATACCTGTATCCCTCCCCCACAGTCTGGGAGCAGACAGGATAGAAGTAAACGAAACCAGGTAATCACTGAATGATCGTTCATTCATTCGGCAAATGTCTTGATACCAGGTTTTTCAGCGGTGATAAAAACAGACAGAAATCCCTGCCCAGGTGGAATTCCCATTCTCCTGGGCAGACAATGAACCAGGAAAGGTCAAATGTCTAGTATGATGGGCATTGACAAGGGATGTGGAGAACGGGTGCCGAAGAGGAAGGAGGCAGGGAGAGGAAAGAAGGCTGGAGGACTCCTGGCCACCCTCATGGATTCTCTCTCCTCATCTTAACCTGGGCAGGGATCTGAAGGGTGAATGGAGACTCTGGCGGGGTAAAAGTTGTGTTTGCAAGGGGAAGAAAGGGGACCAGGGACAGCAGAGGGGGAGGGGCTAAGGCTGCTCACTGGGGTCTGTACCCCAAGGAGCCACTGAAGAGCGAGGTTGGTAGGTGATCTGATTTGCATTATAGCAAGAGTCGTCCTGCCTGTAGTGTCCTGAGTGACTCGGGCAGAGCAGGAATGAGGAAAGTTGCTGGTCCCTGGACCACAGATCTTGTGGGCATAGAACCAGAGGAGTGATCAGGAGGAGTGAGCTTCCAGACTTGGGATGAATGCATATGCTGGGGGATGCTGGGAAGGGGAAAGACAGTCTGCTGGCCAGGGGTCAGCTGACCTCCAAGTCATGACCTGGGGACATGGTAGAGGGAAGAAGGGGCTGAGTCCACTGGGGATTTGCTGGCTGTGACACACCTGAGCAACATCTGATTGGAGACCCTCATCCCTCAGTGTACGAATCCTGACCTCTGCCTCTTTTTTCTTCCACAGGAGGCACCCAAATGTAATATCTTCTTGTAAGTCTGGGCCTTTGGTTAGAACTTCTAATCTGGGGAGGTGAAGGGAGGGACAACCCAAAAAAATGCCCTGCCTGACCTTCCTGGGTGGGGAGGCAGACAGCTCATCCATTATCCTCACCTCCCACTCCAGTCAGAAACCACTCCCTCCCTCTCCAGAGAGGGAGAGGGGGAGAGAGATCTTCTCTCCTTCCCTCCACCAGCCAACCCTGGGGAGCCCCATGCTTGTGGGCAGGTCAGTAGCTTAATCCCAAGCCCTCCCACTGCAGTCTCAGGTCCTGGAGGGTGGTGGACAAACTGTCTTTGCTGACACTAATATATAGATAAACCTCAAGGAGCCTGAGCACAGTGAGGAGGAGCTGGGGCAAGGGTGTCTGGGCAGAATGTTTCCATCAAGTCACCTGCCCACCTTATACTCCATGGGTGCTTTGGAGGGTTTGCTCCTCCTCCTTGAGTTAGCTCTGGGACACTGGGCATTGCCTCTATGTCTACGTCACCTGGGTCAGTGAGAGATGCTGCACCTGCCCAGGGAGGCTGTGGGGTATTCACACCCCCACTTTATAGCAGGGGAAAGTAAGGCCCAGTAGGGAGTAACTCAGAGCAGGACTACAAGGCCATCATGAGAGGCTCCTGGAAACCAGGCCCTGCCACTCAGCCCAGAATGGGGCCTGACCCCTACCCGCTAAGGGGGCTTGAGCCTCGAGTGTATGGATGTTTGGGGATGCCAGGGTCCTTCTGCCTCTCCACTGATCATTTCTCTGTCCCTGAGCAGCACCTGCACCCAAGGACACAAATGCTGTGGTTACAACTGCTGCCAGGAGATGACAATCTTCTCCGGCCCCTTGAGGTGAGCCCAGGATCTCTGGTACTATCCACAGAGGGACCTGGTCCACACAGGACAGTCCTGGACATCCTGCTGTGGGGCTTGGGTGGGCCCGGGAGGGGAGTGTGGTGGGGTGACCTGCACTCAGGGTGATGTTGGCGGTCCCCCACCCTAGGATCTTCATCATCATCTTCCTCATCATGCTGCCCCTCGTGTGCATCTGCGGCCTGGCTAAGCGCTTCTGTAGCAAATGCAGGGAGCTGGAGAGGGAGCCTGCAGAGGATCACCAAGGGCTCCCAGGCCCACCCTCCATTTCCCCGCAAGAGAGGGCCATGGCACCTACCTCTGAGCCCCCGCCACCCTACAGCGAGGTGGGTCTCTCTATCCCAACCCCTGACTTGCTCCTGGGCTAGCTGTCCCTCACGATTGTCCAGATTGTTACAGGGACAGGATTAGGCCTCAGTTATCCCAGCCCTTCAACCCTGGAGAGGGTTCTGATATCATAATTGCACCCCCCCCCCCGGGCCAGTGAACAGGCCTTCGCCCGCATGGGGGTGGTGATGGCCAGGTCCAGGTCCTAAGACCCAGTACCCTCTTTTCCCTGCAGGTTATTCTGAAGCCCGCCCTGGTCCTGCCTCCCACAGAGCCGCCCCCTCCCTACAGCTTCAGCCCTGAAGAGTATGCTGGGGTGCGGAGGGGCATTGACAACCCAGCCTTCTGAGCCCCTCCTCCATCTCCTGGCGAAAGCCAGAGACTTTGGGGACTCCTGGAACATCCCCATCCATCTTGCCACGTCTCTGGTCCTTCTTGGATTTAACTTATTGCTTTTTCTGCCCTCGTTCCTCTCCATCTGCCTCTTATCCTAAGGGCTGGGTGGAGCCACAGTATCCCCTCTTCCAAGTTAGAGGCTGCCAGGAGGAAAATATCCACAGCTGAGGTCCCTGCAGTGGACTGGGCTGCTCTGCAGACTAGAGGCAGAGCTGTCGCTGGAGACACACAGATCATGACTGGACAGCTAGGTCTGATACTATGGAGACACTTCTGTACCCTGGGGAGGTTGCACGGGGTGAGCTCTGAGCCACCTTGAACTCCACCTGAATGGAGAAGACCACATTGTACCCACACCCAACACATGCTCCAAACACATGTGGTCATTAAATTTTAGCGGACTGTGACCAGAATCTGCCTCTGGCTGTGTGAGGAGGTGGGCGGGGCGTGGGCTCTGACATAACTAGGGGCTGGAGGGAGAGGGACGCAGCACCAAAATCCGATGACAGATCCGATGATGACCCTCCATGAGTCCGTTGACTGTCAGCCTGGGAAGACGATCCATCCATGCTGGACAAGCTCGGACCTCCAGTTCCTTGAGGTCTCTGGGTGCTAAAGAGCTGGAAATGGGCTGGGGGTGACAGCTGTGTGACTTCCCCATCCCATCCTCACTCTGCTTCCCCTGGGAAATGTGGGACTGCCTCACTGTGTATTGGTGAGACCTCAGGGAAAGCCTGAAGCTTGGAAACAGACTACTGGGAGAAGGTGGGGTGCTGAGGAGGCCAGGAGAGGCGAATGCATGGGGCTGGGCATCGGTGGACTGGAGCCCCGGGAGTCCTTGATTAGTCCACCCTGGAATCTTCTGGAGAAGAGTTGGCAGATCCTGCTGTGCTTTTCCATTCCTGTGTAAACTCTGGGCACTGAAGCTCAGCCCCACCTCAGAGTCTGAGCCCCTAAGAGGAAGATTCTCCCCTGTATGGCAGAGGAGCTTCCCTGGGCTTAGTCCCATGGGGTCTGCAGCAAAGCCTGGAGCTTGGAGCTGCGCCTAGGTGGTGCAGAGTGAGGGAGATACCGGTGCCAGGCGCCTCCACCCGACCTTTGCCCTGTACCCTGCCCTCCTCTCCAGGTGCAGAGCACAGCATCAAGACTGGCCAAAGCTCCTAGGAGAACTGGAGGTAGATGTAGCTCTGGTATGCTGACAGGGGTTCTCCCAACATGGCACCTGGACCCAGGCAGGTGGCAGGACCAGGGCTTGGAGATGGCACAGGCATCCCCAAAGATGTCAGGGATAGGACACGGACTAAGGAAGAAGAGTAGTTGCTGATAAGACAGCCTAGTCGTGGCAGTGGGGAATGAGCCCACAGTAGGTGGAGTCTCCCTGCAGCCCCAGGGGCTAGCTGAAGGGGCAGGAGGCACATTTGTGGGTGCTGTGTGTCCATGTGTGGCCAGCTCCAACTAGAGACGTCTCAGAGCTGGCATTTGCTCTCACTGGTGAGCACCACCCCTGGAGGAAGACACTGAGCTATGGACTTTGGAGTCCTGAAGGCGGTTACCCTCAGCCTGGATGCCACCCTCCTGTCATCAAAGATGGCATAGGGCCTTTAATTTCTCCTTCTCAGTGACATCCAAGTGCCCTGAAGAAGACAATCTGTCCTGAAACCCAGGGTGACTGCCTCTCGGGCTCCCCTGGTCACTGTTGGTGGGAATGAAAGAAATGGGACCTCTCCAGGCAGCTGTCTGACACTCTCATGCCACAGATATTTCCAAAGCCCCTACTGTGTGTGAGGCACTTAGGTCTGGCCACCCAGGAGCAGGTGAAATGCACGTGACCTAACAATTTCACTTCTAGAAACCAGCCTTCAGAAATGCTCATGACACAAATCGTCATAGAGATGTCTGTCACCACATTGTGGCTCTAGGGAGGTGGAGATGAAAAGATTGTCAACGTTACCAATGTTAAAAAGCCAAGTGCGTCCACACCGTGAGCGCCATGCAGCCTTTACCGAGGGGCTCCACAGCCCTGAGCTGACACAGTGGCCATCGTTCATTGTTACAGAGAAAAGGCAAGTCGCAAAACAATAGCCTTATACATACACGCCATCATTACACTTTAAAATTATGTAAATGTGTATTTTTTTCTTTGACAAGCTCTAGAAGGACATGAACCCACCCACGTATCACACTGAACAGCTATGACACCATGGAAGAGGTTGGAATGGGTTGGAGGTGGGCCATTTTAAGAGGAGCTTGCGATTTTGCTTGAGCATTGTTTCGTTTTGTTTTGCAATAAGCCAGCCTTTGCTTTTGTAAATGTAGAGGTTTACTGGGCTTTGCTTAGAGGTAGCCTTAGAAGTTGGTGAAGACTTACCTTATGAGCTTTGATGGATGGCAAATACTCTATTCCCAGCCCTGCTGTGGAGGAAGAGGTTAGAAGGGCTCAGACATGTGACATGTAGGACACCTTTGTGACTCAGGGTGCTCAGTGATATCTGGACAACTGCCAGACATGAGGCCCACGTGCCTAACCTGTGCAGGGTCACGATGGGCACTGGGTGTGGACTGAATGAGAGAAACAGTGAGCCGATGCCTGGCTGGCCGGGTGGGTGGCTGGCCACTTCCCAGGGAATGAGAGTGAATTCTCTGGTTCACCCCTGTGGTCGGTCACCCTTCCCCCATCTGTTTATAGCACATCCTCCCTCCCCATGTGCTTTTCCTGCTGCCCCCATCAGCTCTGACATGGCTCCCGTCCAGATCATCAGTGACCTAAATCGTGCCGAAGCCAAGGGTTCCCCGGCCTCACCGCTCGTTGGCATTTGACAGACTTGGCCACTACCCTCTTCTTGAAAACCCTTCTTTTCCAGACCTCTCTGGTTGCACTTGACTCTCCTCCTACACGTTGGCGGCTCCTTCTCAGCCTCTCCTTCTCCTCCTCCGCCATCTCTGAGTGAAGAGTGACCCGGAGGCTCTATCTTTGGTCTTGTCCTCAGGGTCATTCATTCACATCGTGGCTGTAGCTTCACAAACCATCTATTCTCTGATGAATCCCGGATCTTTATCTTGAGTCGAGATTTCCCCTTGAATTCTAGACAGATATACTAAACTACCCCACACCTCTCCTTGGGAACCTGAGGACTATCTATGTTCTTTCTTTCTCTCTTTTTTCCAGCCTCCCTCCCTCTCTTTTATCCCAATAAATACTTAGTGAGCCCTTCCCATGTGCCAGGCTCTATTCCAAGGCCTGGGTGCAGGAGGCACGGCAAACAGATGCTGTTCCTGCCCTTGTGCAAAACATATGCCGATCAAATAATCCAACAAGTGAGTCTGTGGTTATACCCTATGCTAAGTGCTGGGAAGAAAATTCACATGGGATACAGAGAACTACTGTAGGCAGGCAGGGTGCTGCTTTAGGTAAGATGGTCAGGTATGGTTTTGGAGGAAGAGACATTGAGCTCATTCCTTAAGAGTGAGGAGTAGGTTGACATGCAAAGAAAGCCGGAAAGGACACTCAGCAGAGGGGCTGGCATGTGCAGAGGGCCTGAGGCAAGAAGTAGCTTGAGGGGCTGGGATTGTGGCTCAGCAGTAGAGCGCTCACCTAGTACCGGTGGGACCCGGGTTCGATCCTCAGTACCACATAAAAATAAAGGCATTGTGTTGTGTCCATCTATACCTAAAAAAAATTAAAAAAAAAAAAAAAAGAAGCAGCTTGATGCTCATGAGAATCTGAGACCCTGCTTTGCTTCAGAATCACCCAAATTCCCTCTCTCCCTCCCTCTCTCCTTCCATCCTTTCTTTCTTTAACAAGGAATTGAACCCAGAGGTGCTTAACCACTGAGCCCCAGCCCTATATTTATTTATTTATTTATTTATTTATTTTTGAGACAGGATCTTGCTAAATTGTTGAAGCTGGCTTCCAACTATGGTCCTCCTGCCTTGGCCTCCTGAGTCCCAGGGATTACAGGCATGTGCCACTGTGCCCAGCCAAAATTCTCAAAATTCTTAACAGAGAATTCATTTCCTAGAGCTGCTGTAACAACCTCTAACTGAGAGGTTTAAAACAACAGAAATCTATTCTCTCACAGTCCTGGAGGCCAGACGTGTGAAATCAAGGTGTTGGTAGTTGCTTCCTTCTGGAGACTCTAGGAAATCCATCCTATGCTCTGTCCTCGCTTTTGGTGGCTGCTGACCATCCTTGGTCCCTGGGCTTGTGAGTGCCCTCCCATCTCTGCCTACAAATTCACAGTCTGTGTGTTCTACTTTCCCATCCAGTAAGGACACTCTTCATTGGATTAGGGATCATCCTAATCCAAGATGATCTCATCTTGAGGTGCTTATGTAAATTACATCCACAAAGACCTTGTTTCAAATAAGGTCTCCTTCTGAGGTTCAAGGTTCCAGGCAGACGTATCTTTTGGGGGGGAACACAATTACATTCACTGCAGAAGATTCTTTTTTTGGGGGGAGGTGGTACCAGGAATTGAACTCAGGCACTCAAACACTAAGCCACATCCCCAGCCCTATTTTGTATTTTATTTAGAGACAGGGTCTCACTGAGTTGCTTTAGTATGTAGCTTTTGCTGAGGTGGCTTTGAACTCACAATCCTCCCTCTCAGCCTTCCAAGCCACTGGGGTTACAGAAGTGCGCTACTGTGCCCGGCTTCCCTAGACATTCATATGGGACCTGAGAGATCCTCTGAAAAGTATTTTCCCTAAAAAGCTAGTTCTAGAAGAATTTTTTTAAAGGGGCCAGAATAACATTCCATGTTCAAACATATTTGGAAAATAGATATCTCACATAGGTCAGAATTTACCTGCATTTATTAGAGGGCTAAGAATTCATAGAAGAAGAAAAAAAGCCACCTTCTCATTATTTAAAGCAACAATTTCCCATTTTATTTCACCATATGAGCTGGGGTTGTGGCTCAGAGGTAGAGTGCTTACCTAACCTTACCAAAC